ACCTGCAGAGGTGCACAGTGCCTCTGTGAGCCTAAGCACCTGCTCGAGCACCTGCATTTAGTTGCAGATACATGCGGTCTTTGGTTTTGATGTCAGAATACAGCGTACATGTTCAGTGGTTAACAAAACTATTACAGCTTAACTTCCAAATTAACATGTAAGACCATATTTTGCTGTTTTTAATCTGTTAAATTTCTGTTCCTCGTCGTATTACAAATTTCCACATTTGGGATTTGTGTTTAATTCTTCAACATTAACCCAACCGACGAGTTATTGTTGTAAGTAAACGTTGTTATGATATCCTGTGCGGATGAGAATAGAAACTTTTGTTCTTAAGATGAGAAAACTGGCAACAAAAAGCAACACTTCAGTGAAAAACAAAGGGCAACAAACAAGAACACCACTCTGTCTTCTGTCTGTGAGTCAGCCATGAATACAACAAAAGCTCTCCACTTGAATGCTTTAGGTTAAGTGAATCAAAGCTGTATGTACAGTTAAAAGCAAACACATACCACAGATGTCTCTTGGGGTGTCTCTTTTTACGGCCCGTGGCATCTACTTTCAGAGCACAAGGAAGCCAGAAACAAACAGTCTGTCCTCAAAAACACTCGATCCAGTGTGTCTAGAAAGCCAAAATAAAACCCAGAGCGGCCGCACTGAGGGAGCGTTTCCTGGACTTTCTGATTTAGTACAAATACTCTTACAGAGAAAATAACAGCTCAGTAAAGCTGGACTGTAGATGATAGAGTAACTTTTGAGTGTATGGTATTTAGATGCCATTTAAATGCATTACATTTACTAATATTTTGTGCTCAACTCTTTCTGATTTTTCAGCCTTGCAGCTGACCTCCACTTTTATTCCAAGAAAGAAAACTTTCATGTTTTTCTTCTGCATCTGTGAACATGGAAAGCTATATTTTCCTTGGTTTTCATGTAATAATATTTAGGTCTAAAAGTGCCCGGGCCCATTTTCCTCATGATTCTTGATGGATAATTGATGGATGCAGCAGGCTTATTGATGGTTTCGCTGAGTGATCACAGAATGGCCGGCCCTTCTCATCAGAGCTCACCCCTGTAGTTTCTTATGAGAGGGCAGTGCGCTTTCTTCTTTTAGCAGTCATTACTGCTGCACACAGGCTCAAACACGGACACGGTACCTAAAGCGTGTCCTTTTTCTCTTCACGTGAAATTTAGTATCAGGGTTTTTTCATCACTGAACAAGTTTGATGCCCTCAGAAGAATTTTAAGCCAGAGCCAAAAGTAAATCACCAGAACTGTGATTTTAAATTATTTTATGTTCTTTAACTCAAATGTAATAAATATTACTAAATGATCAGAAATAACAAGAGGATGCAGAAATTTATGTCACATAAAGTCGCCCAGTATTCATTGAATGCAGAGCAAAGGCCTAATCTGAGCCAGGGAGAGTCCCGTTGTTATACATGTTCTTCAAATGTAGATGGTGCAGTTAATCATTGTTTAAACCCCTGATTTAAAAAATAATAAATAGAATAAATAACTAAGACAAATCCAGCGTTGTCCATGATATATAACCACTGCTACTGTGGCAGCATCCACCCTCAGAGCTTTTGTACTGCAGTGTCAGCCGTCACTGGTGATGACCCTGAAGTATGGTTGCCTTAAAGTTATAAATCACGAATAAAACCTATAAACAGTGAATTTAAACTTGATTAAAGCTAAACTGCATTTTTTATTGTCCAACAAACCTCTTGGAACTCAGTTGAGACTTTTAGGAATAAACGTTCTTAAAAATGTATTCTCGACGCTGAGTGATTATAATGTCACATGATGTTAACATTAATTCAGGTGCTTTAGCAACATGTGGATATCAGACTGTTAACATGAGCCCCGTGTTTTTCCTTCTTATCGATTATACATATTTAATGTATGTGGAAAGCTCAGGCTCTTCTGTAAATGATTTCAGTCTGAATTGTGAGATGTTTTGAGGAGGGTTTGACTGCTCAGCACATTTTCTGGGTGATGTTTGCTCTTCTATAAATGATCAGTATAAAATATGAAACATGTAAAAGAATAAACTGACACTTTCTAGTATTAATGTGCCCCAAACACAAGCATGAGGTTTACCCACCAACTGTAAAAATATGTGAGGAGTTTTTCAACTTGAAGAAAAGTTGGACCAACTTGACCTGATAGAAGTAAAAAGTGGAAACAAGATAGAAGTTTGAATTTAAAAAAAAAAAAAGTTTTGTCAACTTAACATTTTGAACCGTGTGCACGTTGTGTTAGCTAAAGCGTTTTTAATAACTTTATTACATTTAAGAAAAAGTTGTGCAACTCTTTACAGAACTTTGTGGAGCCTCATTGAGCCCCAGTGAGGCTCTACAAAGTCTGACAACTGCAATGACACACTTTCATATTCTGCAGCGCTCTCATGCAGCTCACAGGCTGCTGGAATGTGATTGGTTGTGCTTTTACATGCTAACTTTATTTATAAAAGTTGTGGTAAAAACAAACATTTTTACAACTTGTTTTTCACGACCCGGATCCGCATTCATCTTTTAATGTTACAGTAATGGTTTATGGTGTTAGGGCCACAGATACTTCCTGGGAAATGCCTTTGCTTCCAGACATCACCCTCACACTCAGCAAAGTTGCCACACTGACATAAATATTTAGTTTTTAATATACACTCGTAGTATGCTTATGTTTAGTCTGCTGCCATAGTCCACTTCTTATCTGCACTGTAAGAAATACCTGAATCTCATTTTTCTTCAGTTGAGTCAGACTTACAGTGTTTTCAAT